GTTAGGATGGTGTTTACATCCCATTGTCATGGGGACAGTTAAGATGGCGTTTACATACTGTTGTCATGGGGACAGTTAGGATGGTGTTTACATTCCGTTGTCATGGGGACAGTGTTTGAAAGGTGTTTACATCACGTTGTCATAGGGAATGTGTTAGGATGGTGTTTATGTCACGTTGTCATGGGGACAGTGTTTGGAAGGTGTTTACATCACGATGTCATGGGGAATGTGTTAGGTTTTTGTTTACATCACATTGTCATGGTGACAGTGTTTGAAAGTTTTTTACATCACGTTGTCATGGGGAATGTGTTAGGATGGTGTTTACATCACATTGTCATGGGGACAGTGTTGGGATGGTGTTTACATCACATTGTCATGGGGACAGTTAGGATGGTGTTTACATCACATTGTCATGGGGACAGTGTTAGGATGGTGTTTACATCCCGTTGTCATGGGGACAGTTAGGATGGTGTTTACGTCACGTTGTCATGGGGACAGTGTTAGGATGGTGTTTACATCCCATTGTCATGGGGACAGTTAGGATGGTGTTTACATCACGTTGTCACGGGGACAGTTAGGATGGTGTTTACATCCCTTTGTCATGGGAACAGTTAGGATGGTGTTTACATCATGTTGTCATGGGGACAGTGTTAGGATGGTGTTTACATCCCGTTGTCATGGGGACAGTTAGGATGGTGTTTACATCACGTTGTCATGGGAACAGTTAGGATGGTGTTTACATCCCGTTGTCATGGGACAGTGTTAGGATGGTGTTTACATCCCGTTGTCATGGGGACAGTTAGGATGGTGTTTACATCTCGTTGTCATGGGGACAGTGTTAGTACAGTACTACACAACGTCCTGTTGTGTATTTAGTTTTATTCATGTTATAATTAAAATAAAAACAGTAAGCAAATTCATATCTGTTATTTAGCCTCTTTTTTGTGTGCCTGTACAGTTTTATGCGTTTTTAAACTTTTGTTGTTGTTCTTGTTGGAAACTGGTCTGCATGAAGTATGCCGAGCAAAGTGAGCTGTGATTGAACCCGAACCATCCAGGACTGCAGACACTTCATGTCAAACACAAGCTGCCACTTGTTCTTCCCACAGAGGCGCAGAACTCACCTTGCTGCCACATCGCTAAGAAGGCGTCCACAACAGACTTGTGGACTCTTTCCTCATTAACTCGAGTGAGTTCTGATAGTTTCGTTTTCATAGTTCGAGCAGCTCCAACTTTCTCCTGACGGACATTATTGAAGACCTCCAGACTTCACCAGCATGTCGTTAATTCGCTTCTCTCTCGCTGCTGTTTTATGCTGCTGTGCAGGTAAGCTCACATCATTTACTGCTGTTAAATCAGCTCATTGAAGGGATTCTTTTCCCAAGACTGATCTTTAAATTCTCCTAAAGTCCTCGCCGAGCTTCTTAAAGTAAACCGAGATGTCCGCAGAGCTCGGCGACTTAAAGCCGCTGAGAAACACCGGAAATTAAAATGGCCTGATTAAAAACAAGTCCTATTAATATTCAAACTCCTAATCGATATGAACGAGTCATTTAATGATTTAGGCTGATTACCTACGTCACGTATTTATTTGTGTGTGTGCGCGCACAATAAGGAAGTGTATGAAGTGACAGGCCTGCTCCATTTTTAATGTTAAAAATAGCCTAAAGCTAAAAGTATCATGAATCTAAATTTAATCTGTTGGGTTTCTCCATGAGTGAATATATAACTTGTAAATTACTAAATAAACCGATGAAACGGAAAGTTTGACCGCTTGTCTACACCCCGCGGTGAAGTTAGTTGTAGGTTGGATGTGGTAGCTCCGCGGATTCAGCGGTGTCTTCTTCTCGTTCGAGCCGATGCAGGCAGCCTGATTTCGGCCAGCCGCCCTCAGGCTGCCCCCTCCTCCGACCCGGAGTGGTTCGCTTAGGGACCGTCCACAAATTACCAAAAACTCTTGAGAAAAATAAATAAAATAAATAAAAATCTGTCATGTCTTGTGACCCACTCATATAAAACTTATGTTAAATTGATCTATTCTACACCTGACAGAGACACATTTTTATGCGTGGTCATGTGCAAAAACTAAACCAAAATAATTAAACACAGCATTCCTTATATATTCATTTATATTCATTACTACCCCCATCTGCTCACCTCAGGCTCATGTTCGGGCTGCTGTTGATACGCCATATTGTTTTACATTATTAGTGTTTGGCGTTCGTTTAGCGTATATCTTAGTTTATATCTTAAATCTAAGGGGCGGCTGTGGCTGAGCGGTTAGAGCAGTCGTCCTCCAGTGCGAGAGTTAGGGGTTCGATTCCACCAGCAGCCACATGCTGAAGAGTCCCTGGGCAAGACACTGAACCTGTCATTGCAGCCGATGTGTGTTTCATCAGTGTATGAATGTGATAAAGCTCTGATTATTGTTTGTAAAGATCTAGTAGAGAGCAGTATGAATGGGTAAATGAAGGCACAGATTGTAGTGTAAAGAGCTTTGAGTGTCTTGATAAGATAGAAAGGTCTTATATAAGTCCAGTCCATATCTTAGATCCTTACTGTTTCTTTTTACACTTTATATTTTGGGTGTAACTGGGACCTTGAGTACATAATTTCATTTCGCGTCACGTACCACATGTGATGTGAATGACAATAAACTTAACTTGAACTTGATATTGCTCACCACCTTTCATGCCTGAGCTTTGATCTATGTTGGTTAAATCTTCAAGATAACAATATGGCATTCATTCAGCCTTTATTTATACAGGTTAGTCTCAATGAGCCTCAAGACATGACACATGTGACATGTTATTTGTTGGAGTATGTTCTGGATGACTGTCAGATACTCCTAGCTCAATACCTGTGAATTCACTGAGGCGTCGCCGTTGTTGCACAGGCTAATTAGCTGTGGCGGCCATCTTGAAATGGACTCCAAAAGTTAATTAGTTGTAGCTGTACAGCCAGTGATTACTTTCTGAGAGTTTAATTGAAACCCTTCAGTCAGTGGAGATCAGTCTCCATGACCCCACCAAATTTTAGCTCCATTTATAAAACTGACCAAGTTAGTCTTCTAACATTGTTGTAACAATTGTTATTATTGCTCGGCTTTAGATGACGAGTTATAAATACCTGTAGAAAGGCAGCTTGTCCGCTCACTAAGAAAAGATCAAAACACAAAACATTTAGAACATTTTTATAAACCCAGTTTAGAAGATTTCAAAAGTAGTTGGCACCCTAGAAGCTAAATGTAAAGAAATAAACAAAAAATAAATAGTATGCTGTGCATACACATTAGCTGCATTTTGAAACATTTATAAATGTTTTTGTTCTAATATGTAAATTTAACAGAGCACTTTGCTCTCATACTGCAGGTTTACTTGTGGTTCCTAGAGTTTCCAAAAGCAGAATGGGAGGAAGATCTTTCAGTTCTCAGGCTCCTCTCTTGTGGAACCAACTTCCAGTTTCTGTCCGTGAGGCTGACACATTGTCCAGTTTTAAGACTGGGCTTAAGACTTTACTTTTTGATAAATCCAGCTTGGATTTCCTGAGCTATCCCTTAGTTATGCTGCTGTAGGCTTAGACTACGGGAGGACAAACTGACCACACTTCTTCACCTTGCTGCTGTCTTTGCTCACTCTACTCCACCTGTTTGTATTTGTAATTATTTCTGTGTTAATATGTTTTTATTTTTGTTGTCGTTCCTCCTATAGAAAGTACATCTGGACCTGCCTTTCTGTGTTTGTCTGATTCTTCTTCCTGTTCCTCTCAAACCCAGCTGACCGAAGCAGATGGCCGCTCATACTGAGCCTGGTTCTGCTGGAGGTTTCTTCCTGTTAAGAGGGAGTTTTTCCTTTCCACTGTTGCCTTCATGCTTGCTCAGGATGAGAGACTGCGACAAAGTGATGATTCAGCACAGTCAGCTGGCTTCTTTAGATAGATAACTTTTACGAGCTGGTTTTTATAATGTATACGGATGTTTCTGTTCAGTGCCCTGAGACGACTTCTGTTGTGACTTGGTGCTATATAAATAAACTGAATTGAACTAACGCTAAAGTTGGTCAAATACAATTTAGCTGTGCATTATAGAAATATATGAACTGCTATTTTACAATAATTACGGTCTATTTAATTGAGTTTTCCCCTTCTAGGATCAGCCTTAGCGGATGTCCTGAAAATAACCGCCAATGTGAATGAAATCGCCATCCTGCCCTGCAACATCTCTTTGGAACATGACGTACCTACAGTGGAGTGGTCCAAAGATGGCTTAACTCATAACATCACCTTCTTGTACCGGGACGGCTGCGAGATTTTCCCAGAGAAGAATCCAGACTTCCACCACAGGACCAATCTTTTCCTGAACGAAGTGAAAGACGGCAATCTGTCTCAGATAATTTACAACCTGCGGCTGTCTGATGCGGGCAGATACCAGTGCAGGACTCTGAGAGGGAGACAGTTTCAGGTTGAAGCAACGGTGGACCTTACTGTAGGTACGTCCCATCCAACTGTGTGGCTGTGTGGAAATTAAAAAAAAAGTTTAAAATCAGTTTACTTTGAAGTAACGCCCAAGTTTGACACCTTGGTGTAATTTTACGCCAACTCAGATACTTTTGTGCTGAAACTAAATTGCTTTGGTTTGAAGACTATTCTAGATTTGTTGGATTTGTTTACTTCCTTCTTTAGAGCTACATAAGAAGAGACTGTTTGTATACAAAGCAAAACTAAAACTTAGACCAATAAGGCCATTTAAGGTAGCAGCGCTTCTCCCAAGTTTCTGGCCTTTGGAGGTGATGAATAAAAGGTTTAACAAAACACTTCAAGTGAGGGTTATGATGCCGTCTGGTCATAGGTGCCATTTCTAAATGGACGGAGGCAACGATAGAGGTGCCGACCCACCCCTGATGCAACTTTGTGCCATGAAGTGATGTACTAACAGCCAAAACAGTATGAAAATGTAAGCCAGCTTGGTGTTTTGTGAGTATGCTATTGGGGGAGAGGGTTGGATAGTGGATGGGCGATAATGTATTAGTTTGACATCTCCCATGACCGCAGTGAATTGGTAACTTGCAAACGTACAGACTTCCATTTATGACATGACTTTCAAAGGGGGGAAGGCGGTGCAGTTGGGGAAGCAGGGATAAATGCTAAGGAAATATCCTAAATGTATCATCCTCGTAGTGTTGATGCAAGCTTTATCAATAATGCAAAAGGCTGCTTGAACCACAGTAAATCATACATTGTTAAATTCATCCATCCATCCATTATTTTTACCTGCTTCTTCCTTTTTGGGTCTCTGGTTCTCACCGTATATCCAGCCATCACTGTGTGAGAGGCAGGGACACCCTGGACAGGTCTCCAGTCCATCACAGGAACACAGAGACAAACGAGACAAACAACCATTCACTCACTCACTCTCACCTAGGGACAATTTAGAGTTACCAATCAGCCTAACATGCATGTTTTTGGTCTGTGGGAGGGAACCGGAGTACCCGGAGAAAACCCACGCATGCACAAAAAGAACAAACTCCACCCAGAAAAAAAAAAAAAAACATCCAGATGACCTGACCAAACTTTGTTGGATTTTCTACCTGGATTTTTGAGCATGAACTTTGATGTTTTGAACCACTTTGGCTATAGAAGTCTCAGAGGAGTGGACGGGGGAGAGGACAGGCCCCAGAAACCATCTTATCTAAGGCAAACTGGTTGGTCCACAATGTGAGTGTGCTGCTTGTGGGACTGAATTTGTTGTGCTTCCTCGAACTGATGAAGTCCTTTGGATGAAGGACGAAATGTCTCAATCAAACAAACAAACAAAAAAAAAAAACGCCCATATGACACCAAAGTTGACTGAACTCTGTTGGTTGTGATTTGGTTTGTTTCTGTAACTGCTGATGTCCTGGGAGTGTCATCACTAAATGTAAATAACATTCTGCAAATAGGATTGAATATAATCATGTTTAGTTGGTGACAGTTGACAACAAAAATCAAATTAAATGATTGAATAATCAATTTTCATTCTTTCTGATGGAGTCCAGTTTTTCCAACTTTTTTTTATTTTAGTGCGCAAATCCAATATGAAACCAATTAAATAGTCAAATATTGCATTTTTATGTAAATACCAGTGAATAAAATCAGCCAACTGTATTGATTCAACTCCCTGTGATGATCATGGGAGACAATGGAGAGGAAAATTGTATTTTCCAAAGAAAACATCTTTCAGTTCAAGAGCTGAGCTGATGCACAATTCTAAAATGTAAAAACAATATTTCAGATCTTTTGAAATGGGACTTTGTGGAGAGGTTATGAATACTGTAATTGCCGGTCTATAGAGTGCACCCGCATATAAGCTGACACACACGCGCGCACACCAGGTGGTGCAGTGGGCAGCTATTGGAGGCGCCCGGGGGGCATTTTGGGGATGAGGTGTGCTGCCCAGAGACACCACGTGATGTGCAGTGACTGGGGATCGAACCTGGGACTTTCGGGTCCCAAGCCGGCTGCCCTGCCTCTACACCATCTCGGCCCCCATATGATACAAATCTCCCACAAACAGATAAAATAGCTTGATGTACTGTCTATAGTTCAATCAAGATATTTTAAATCATTTGTCTTCCTATATAACTGCAACGATCATATCCTAAATCATGAAATACATTTTATTTTTGCAGTTGCTGTGTCTGAGCCAGAGCTCACATTTGTTCCCAGCGATGACGGGGTGTTGCTGCAGTGCAGAGCCGAGTGTTGGTCTTTTGAGCCAAAGATTGTGTTTCTGGATGACCAAGGAGATGAAATTAAAGCTGAAAGTCCGAGAAAAGCTGAGATGTCGACTGGATGTCTCACCGTCACAAGGAATGCGAGTCTGCAGACTGGCACCAACAGGTAGGATTGTTAATGTGTTAATGGAAAACTAGATTCTACTGAAGTCTTTGTGTGGCTCTGTGTGCAGTTTTTGAATTTCTTTATTTCATTCTGGAGGGTTGTGTCTTATGTGAGAAGACTTTTTGCTCTTATTGTTTGCATAGGTTGCAAAAACATTCCCCCCATCGAAGTAGTTTTAATTTATTACCTTACAGTCTTGAATTAAATTTAAGTTTTAATTTGATTAAAAGTATTATTATAAAAAAAAACAGCACTTACAGTATCAGGTCATTTCAGATTTGTTAACTTGACTTTAGTTCATCTTCTTCATGACCAAACTGCTCCAGCTCCTTCAGGTTGGGTGGATACTGCTTGTGTTCAACCATCTTAAATTTGAACGAGAAATTCTCCATTGGAGTGAGGCTCCCTCGGTTTGGATGGCTCCCTCAAAGGCTTTGAGGGAGCCATTGAAGAGCTAAACCACTGGAGAGTTGTTTAACTGTGACCACTTTCCAGTTCCTGCAGATAAAAATCCAACTTTATTTGTAAAGCACTTTACACACCACAGCAGACCAAAGTACCGTACAGAATCAACATTAAAACACGGCTCATGCAATAAAAAAATACAATCAAAACACAAGTGAAATAAAGCCAGGTAATAAAAACAATAACATTTATAAAATCTGATCAACATTTATATAAACTCTATAAAAATGTAATCGGGTATAAATAAAAAACACTTTACAAAGTGTTAAAAGCCAAACAAGTGGGCTTTAAGAAAAACAAAACAACAGATAATGGTAAAGGCCTGTGAGATGGGGGCGGTGGGCAGCTCGTTGCACAGTTTAGGAGCTGCAGCAGCAAAAGCTTGATCCCCCTCCTGAGCTTCAGTCTGGTTTTAGGGACCCGGCAGCTGATCAGCGTGCGCGGTAGGTTTTGTAGTGATGCAGCAGTTCAGAGAAGTGCAAGGTCATTAAAAAATTTCAAAACAAAAGGATTTTACAATGGATCCTAAAATGCATGGGCAGTCAGTGGAGTGAGGATTAAATGGGAGAGATGTGCTCATATTTACGTGTGTCAGTTAAAATCCTTGCTGCAACATGTTGGACCCTCTGCAGTGAGGCAATGGAGGAGTCTTGGTTTCATTAAAACTAAGTTAAGTGCCATCCAGGACTATAACCCTCACATTCAGGAAATCCATTTCATAGTTTGCAGCCAGCTAAAACGTGCAGTAGCACTGTGGCTAACGACTAACCAACTTTTCATCTAAACATGTCTGCTGTGTGGAAGTATTTTACTCTATAAACACCACAAAGCAAGACAGCAACGTGCAATGTCTACAGAGCCATAGCACCACATTATACCGTGATAAAGTTAGGTTTACATTGGACATTCGAGCTCCGGGGCTTCAGCGGTGTGTTATTCTCGTTCAGTCCGGAGAAGGCAGTCTGATTTTGGTCAGCCACGCTCAGTCTGCCTGTCTCAGAGGAGGGGCAGAGGCAGTTTACCCTCCAGGAGATATTTATCAGTACAACAGTAGAAAATCATAAAAAGCTTATGAATTGAAAATTATAAGAAAATTATTTATGTATATATATACAGGTCCTTCTAAAAAAATTAGCATATTGTGATAAAGGTCATTATTTTCCATAATGTAATGATAAAAATGAAACTTTCATATATTTCCGATTCATTGCACAGCAACTGAAATATTTCAGGTCTTTAATTGTTTTAATACTGATGATTATGGCATACAGCTCATGAAAACCCAAAATGCCTGTCCCAAAAAATTAGCATATCATGAAAACGTTGTCTAAACAAGCTATTAACCTAACCATCTGAATCAACGACGTAACTCTAAACACCTGCAAAAGATTCCTGAGGCTTTTAAAAACTCCCAGCCTTGTTCATTGCTCAAAACTGCAATCATGGGTAAGACTGCCGACCTAGCTGCTGTCCAGAAGGCCATCATTGACACCCTCAAGCAAGAGGGTAAGACACAGAAAGAAATAGCTGAATGAATAGGCTGTTCCCAGAGTGCTGTATCAAGGCACCTCAGTGGGAAGTCTGTGGGAAGGGAAAAGTGTGGCAGAAAACGCTGCACAACGAGAAGAGGTGACCGGACCCTGAGGAGGATTGTGGAGAAGGGCCGATTCCAGACCTTGGGGGACCTGCGGAAGCAGTGGACTGAGTCTGGAGTAGAAACATCCAGAGCCACCGTGCACAGGCGTGTGCAGGAAATGGGCTACAGGTGCCGCATTCCCCAGTTCAAGCCACTTTCAAACCAGAAACAGCGGCAGAAGCGCCTGACCTGGGCTACAGAGAAGCAGCACTGGACTGTTGCTCAGTGGCCCAAAGTACTTTTTTCAGATGAAAGCAAATTTTGCATGTCATTCGGAAATCAAGGTGCCAGAGTCTGGAGGAAGACTGGGGAGATGGAAATGCCAAAATGCCAGAAGTCCAGTGTGAAGCACCTACAGTCAGTGATGGTCTGGGGTGCCATGTCAGCTGCTGGTGTTGGTCCACTGTGTTTTTTCAAGGGCAGGGTCAATGCAGCTAGCTATCAGGAGATTTTTGAGCACTTCATGCTTCCATCTGCTGAAAAGCTTTATGGAGATGAAGATTTCATTTTTCAGCATGACCTGGCACCTGCTCACTGTGCCAAAACCACTGGTAAATGGTTTACTGACCATGGTATTATGGTCAGTAAACCTGCTGTAAATGGGGGTCTGAGTGCTAAATAAAAGTGCATCTTAAACCTTTGCGCAAGTTTTCAGAAGGTCAGCAGAGATACTTTATTAGCCTGTAGACTTCTTTTAGTTATGGTGGCCCAAAGCTGTCATTCCTTTCTTGTGGCACTTTCTAGAAACATATTTTTGGAATAGGAGGTAAAAGAAATTGAACATATTAGTTTTCTGTAGGTCTTCATCAAATGGATGTGCTCTATGTTGGTTTCATGCAAATGATTTTAGTGAACGCCAGTTTTTATAGCGTCATAACTGTGTCCAATAGTTTCATTCACTTCTTTAATGGTCATTTTGACATTTTAAGAACGTTTAAGTCTTTAGTCTAATTTCTGCTTTGAAATGTAAACCTTTAAAAAATGATTGACTTGCTCTCTATTCTTGTTGCTATTTCAGCTGACCGGATGAAATCCTGCACCACCAGCATTGGACTCAGTGTATGCCTCACACTGCTGGCATGTGTATTGATAGTCCTATGTGGAGTCTATTTCTATAAGCTATATGGTAATATTTGTAAATCATTACATTTTTTCCATGAGCAGATAGATTAAACACAATTCCCTTTCTTCTAGTTTAACATCACCAAAGGTCTTGTTTAACGGAGGAAAAAATATTAACAAATTAGATTTTAACACATTAAAAGCTTATAAAACTACATTGCTAAAAAAAAAGGGAACACCTAAACAAAATAATGTAACTCCAAATCGGCCACTTTTGTGTAATCAGTGTCATCATTTAGGTAGTAACACTTATTGTGAATCAATTTCACTTGCTGCTGTGCAAATGGAGCACACAACATGCGGAATAAGAGGCAATTAGCAAGACAACCCTTATAAAAGAGTGATTCTGCAGGTGGTGACCACAGGTCATTTCTCTGTTCTCGTCCTTTCTGGTTGAACTTTTAGTCACCTTTTCATTTTGTCAGTGCTGTCACACATAGAGGCATCATGGAGATGTTTTTTACAGCCCACTGAAGTTGCTCAAGTAGTGCAGCTAATCCAAGATGGAACATCAATGTGAGCAGTGGCAATAAGATTTGCTGTGTCTCTCAGCCCAGTGTCCAGAGCATGGAATAGGTACCAGGAGACAGGCCAGTACACCAGAAGACATGGAGGGGGCCGTAGGAGGGCTACAACCCAGCAGCAGGACCGCTACATTGTCCTTTGTGCAAGGAGGAACAGGAGGTCCACTACCAAGGTCCTACGAAATGACCTCCAGCAGGCCACTAATGTGCATGTTTCCACTCATACTGAGGACCCGACGTCCACATATAGGGCCTGTGCTTACAGCCCAACACCGTGCAGGACGATTGGCGTTTGCTAGGGAACACCAAAATTGGCAGATTCGCCATTGGCACCCTGTGCTCTTCACAGATGAAAGCAGGTTCACACTGAGCACATGTGACAGACGTGACAGAGTCTGGAGACACCATGGAGAATGTTATGCTGCCTGCAACATCCTCCAGCATTTATTTGGATGGCTGCACAGCCCTCCATGTGCTAGCCAGAGGTGCCCTGACTGCCATAAGGTACCGGGATGAGGTCCTCACACCATTGTGAGACCATATACTGGTGCAGTGGGCCCTGGGTTCCTTCTTATGCATGACAATGCTAGGCCTCATGTGGCTGAAGTGTGTCAACAGTTCCTGCATGATGAGGGCATTGATGTTATGGACTGGCCTGCCCGTTTCCCAGACCTGAATCCAATTGAGCACATCTGGGACATCATGTTTCGGTCAACCCACCAAGACCGCATCGCACCACAGACTGTTCAGGAGCTAACTGCTGCTCTAATCCAGGTCTGGGAAGAGATCCCTCAGGAGAACATCCACCGTTTCATCAGGAGCATGCCCAGGTGTTGCTGGGAGGTTATACAGGCACATGGAGGCCACACACACACTGCTGAGCCTCATTTAGACTTGTCTTGAGGAAGATTCACTAACGTTGAATCAGCCTGTCAAGTTATTTTCCACTTTCATATTGAGTATGAATCCAAATCTCCATGGTGTAATAATTTTGATTTACATTGATAATTTTTGTGTTATTCTCGTCTCAGTCAATTTCAAAGTGCTTATAATAAAGTTTGTCAATGAGAATATTTAAATAATTGAGCTCTAGGATGTGTTATTTTAGTGTTCCCTTTAATTTTGTGAGCAGTGCACATTTAAATAGATATGACTTTACATTGTTATGACTTTACATTGTTAAAACTATATTATTATCTTATTGTGTGTGTGTGTGTGTGTGTGTATCTTCAAGCGAAAAAAAATAGTAGAAATTCAACGTACTTCAAGCATAATCGACAAAAGTAATGATTTATTAGAGCCTATCAGTTTTAAAATTTAGTTTCTATTATAAATGACCAGAAAGAAATGAGTGTTTAATTTTATTTTTCTTGTATCTCACAGATCAGAAGCAAAAGCTACGTCTATCAAAGCTATTGGCCAGTCAGGCTGAAAATTTTGAAAAGTTGCGAAGAGAAAATGAAGAACTGATGGCAAATATTTCTAACCAAACTCAGTTGTTCTATGACCCGAATGTGGAATTGAAGAAGCTTAAATCCAAACACTATCCACCTCCACAGCACGGTCAATCTACGCATGGCTCCAGATCCACTCTAAATGAGTCCAAACAAGGTAACCAGCTCTCCCAGTGCAACAACCAGAAACCATCAACCTCATCCATGAGCAACCACCCAGAACCTAAGTCTGCGATGAAAGAGTCTAAACCAGCCGTCCCCCAACAAAACCCGACACCCGTTCCCCAGAAAAAGAAAGAAAGATCCAGGAGTGTATCTGCACCTTTGACAAATGATGGTACTGCATCAGAAGGAACAAACCTGTTACGTTCTGGAAGTTTTTCTGGTTTTCGCTCCGGCATTACCAGATCTCCAGTTAAGTATGCCTCTTCCAACTTTTTCAGTGTCCTGGAGAATTTAACTGAAGACTCTGAGTCGCTGCTAAAGTGAGTGAAACTATGAGCCAAGATTAAATAACTGTTTTTACTGATTTGGATGAAAGTGTTCAACATGATTCCAAACTAAAAGGCAGGTTGTCTCAAAATGTCTCCAAATATCCCAAAGGTTCTCAGTTTCCTTGAGTGAGTCTTGCTTTTGCATTGCATGACTTTTGAACAAGTTCAAAAATTTTGCAAGACAAATTTGCTCTCAAAATAATCAAGAGTTGTCACCGGCGACTAGAACCAATCTCAGTTTCTGTAATTCCAGGGGGCTAGAAGTTTTGTGTATATGATCTATTAACAAATGTTGGTCCAAAGTTTTCCAAGAGTTTGTCTAGGACAAGGCTATTCAACTGGTGGCCCGGAGGCCAAATAAAGCTCACAGGTGTGCTCAGTTCGGCCCACCAGTGGGTTCATTTTAAATAAAACTCAATTTTAAATCGTAAAATAACATTACTTAATGGGAATAACTGCTAGATGTCTGGCCCCTGAGCTCTTTGCTTTCAGTAACTGTGCCCCCTCCGAGCAGTTTAGTTGAATAGCCCTGGTCTAGGATGTGTCAATTCAATGTGATTTCAAGTGAAACTCCATTTTGTAATTTCCCTCCAGCTAGTCCCTGCCAGTCAAAACCCAGTTAATGGAATTAGAGTTTCTTTATTTGTCATACAAATTCGTTCCAACACATGTGGTACATGTGATGGAACGAAATTATGTAAACAGGGTCCCAGTTATATCCAACAATAAAATGTAAAAGAAAAACAGTTATAAGATCTAACATGAACTAAAAAAAAAAATCAACTAAAAATACACTAAGCACTAATAACATAAAACAATAAAAACAATACGTCGAACAGCAGCACAAACATAATACAATCTTAAGTAGCTGCCTGGTGTCCAAATACTAATAAGTCAGATCGTCAAATGCACATACATGAACTAATGTCTTATCTTGTTAAAGTTATAAAAAGAGAAAGCAAAATATAGACATTCTGATGACTATGTAAACGAAGTGGTGAGCTAATTTAGCTGGTTGTGTCTGAGCTGGGCAGATCTTAGATGTCAGTTTTTTATGGCTGCTGAACAGTTTGGCCAACCTCAGTGACTTTTTATCAAGGGTCTAAGTCAGGGGTACCCGTTACGTCGATTGTGGACTGGTCTCTAGTTGATTGCGAGATTTGGAGAAAACTTTAAAGAAAAACAATTGTTTATGCATTACGTCTGCATTTCCTCAACCTACCCTAGATGCCCTTAAACTGTTCTTGAAAACAACGACAAACAACAAAGTTTTTCTATCAGCCACCTGTAAAACTGGGGTGGCTCTCCTGTCTTTGCCTAGCAACAGAGGGTACCTGACCTGTGTGGGCACCCGTATAAAATGTATATATTTTTTTAAGATTTGCAAATAGATTTGTGACTCTACCACTTTTTGTAAATAGTGAGCACTAATTAGGTGTAAGGAAAAGAGGCCCTTTTTGTTTGAACACCAGTTTTCTCCCATTTCTTTGTCAGGAGTTGGTTTAGGATATTTTATTTCATTTGTCCTTGTTAGATAAGTAGGTGCTTTTAGGTGGACTTTTGTTTGTCACAACTCTTTACTGAAGCCAATGAAACTGGAAACGAGCTATATTCTGTTTGATGAGCCGGCCTTCGTTGAAGGAGTAGAAAGACACACCTAATATTCTGACCAACGGTTTACCTGACTAGGAGACTAAAGCCCCCAGTATACTCCCGCGTACGTCCATACGCGCAGATGTATGCGCGGATGTACACGGAGGGTTGAGACTTCATACTCGAGCATCCACCCTGAGCGGCTGCAGAGCAGCTCTGCAGACAAGGGGTGTTTACCTTCAGGACAAATAGAGGTTGCCGATTGGTCATTTGCTGACACGCCTACTGGATTGATTGACAGGGCTGAAAAAAAAAATAAAAAACTAGAGCTGGCAGCCCCAGCCGTAGCGGTGTTCTGTGTTTATATGTTGTTAATTAAAAGTTCTTAAAAAAATAAAATAAACAGGGAGTGCTGGCCCTGCAGCCCACACATCAGATCAGCTCAACAGGAAATCTCCAGACCCTCCCGCAGCCACGCTGGGACTGATTTTAATTTGCTTGTGACAAATTCCTTCGTTTCTCACCATTTCAGTCATGGCATCAATGGAGGAGGAAGAAATCACTGTCTCTTGTCTAAAAAAACAAAAGAAAAGGCCAGATCAGGGATGAAGAAGGGGAATTTAATACATTGGTGTTGCATACAAAACAGTCTGTCGCCAGGCAGTTTATTGTGCGACACCGTGTACGCGGTCATAAAAATTGAGCTTTGTGCAGACATGCCCTGCGGAGGTACGCGTGTATCTCCGCATACGTACACGCGCACCTCCACATACATACGTACGCGGGAGTATACTGGGGGCTATACAATGTGTTTGATTCTGAGATGAGACAACTCAGAAATCTGGCAACTTCAAAAGTAGATCTTAGTTCAAAAAGGTCTGGGCACCCCTGGTAAGTGTGGTCATTTAATACTCACCGCGTTGCAAACCTCTATCTGTGGTGCTGTTTGTTTGATGTAGAAGGCCATGCCTGGTTTTATACACATTTTTGCATATTCTTTGTGTTGTTGTGGGGGTCAGATTTCATCTAGCACAGTAGTCCCTCGATACCTTTCGCAGCCTCACCCTTTCACAGGTTTTCAATGCGAGATTGTACACAACACACGATCGGTGATGGGGAAAGACAGACCCCGCCCCCTCCCTTTTCTTTCTGAGGCTGTCTGTCACAGCAGAGCAGAGACATACAACATGCAGGTGTGCAACCTGTTCTGCATGCATATACACACACATATACGTGGGGGCCGAGATGGTGTAGAGGCAGGGCAGCCGGCCTGGGACCCTAAAGTCCCAGGTTCGATCCCCAGTCACTGCCCATCACGTGGTGTCTTTGGGCAGCACACCTCATCCCCAAAATGCCTCCCGGGCGCTTTCAATAGCTGCCCACTGCACCACCTGGTGGTGGATGGGTTAAATGCAGAGACTAATTTCGCCATTGTATGGAAACATACAGTGCTGACATTGTGATGACATTATTATTATTATTATTATATACACTATATATACACACACACACACACACACTAAAATAAATATAATGTACCTACTTCGCTGATTTTCACAAATCCAGGGTTGTCTGGCACGTAAGCCCCGTGATAAGTGAGGAACTAATGTATTTATTGTTTGGAGTACATCTTCTTTATTAAGCAGCAAACATGTTTTTTGTGCCTAATTTCACATTTTAATGAAGGTTCTGAATTTCAAAACTGAAAGAGGTGATTTATGGTATCTAAAAAAATCATCTGAAAAAGTGTTTGCAGTGTGCAAGTGTATAAAACAACTTTTAAGGGTTACGTTTCTTCCATTTAACTATTAACCATTTCCTTTAATACTTTTTTCTTTTGATGCATCAAGTTTTGTAGACATAGGATAAAATAATGTTTTGTGATTGTCATATTTTCCAACCTGGTTTAATTAAGCATTAAAAAGTAGTTACATTACTAATTCTGTAGAAATAAAGAGAAAATCTTTAATGATGTGAAAGCCATAGGAGCAAAAAGAGTGTCAGTAAAACCCAAAGAGTTCAGGGATTCAACAGGGATGAATGTTCTACCTCCTCAGGTTTTAGGTTTATTTTTACAGTGTACCTCATTCTCAGGCCATTCTCTAAAATTTTTGTGAGAAAACTTTTTAGTCATTGTTGAGCCAATGGAGACACAGAAAGGTACAGACCTGATTAAAAACTATTCTTTTAGTATTCTTGAAGTGATAGTAAATCAATAGTTTGCCAAAAGTGCCTACCTTTTCTATAAACTCTTAAACTATGCTAATAAGCTTCTAAATATCAGTTTATATACAATTGTTCTCCATGTATCAGTTTTAAAATTCTGCAGATTTGCAAAACACCATCAACATTTTATAGTTAAAAATTAAGTAATTTCTCTTCGTGTAGGCCTATATAAAATGTTTCAGTATTTTGTTGCTTAATAATTTGAGTGAAAAGTAAAATAACCAAAAGTGTATTAAAGAATAGAAATGTTAGAAGTACTTGTGTGAACAAGTGAACCAACTTTCACAACATAAAAATCGAGTTTACCTGGTACTGATGTAAATCACTGCCTTATATGATATGTCAGGTCAGTTTTATTTAAATCAAGACATCCACAATGTGAAAAATATTGCAAAGTTACACAAACTGAAAAACTAAACTTCCTCTCTTGCAACAATGCAACCAAATTGTTATTTTGTAAAGAATGAATGGACATATCAAAAAATCAGATTAAAAAATACACGTAAAGTAAAAAAGTAATTTTGTATAATGCCAAAATTGTCTTAACTTCGGCACTTCACTGATGCAATACTACAGTATATGTACTTTTTCCTACATTTTGTATTTACATTTTGTACTTTGCTGTTACTGTTGTTACTTTGACATTTTATAGTTTTTATGCAGGAGTGAACATTTTACTCACTGATGTTTAGGTTTGAGTGAGGATGAGTGCTAGTAAGTGTGCGCATTTTTTTTTGTCTTGACGATGTGAATTGTGTGTTTTTTTTTGTATTTTTTATTTTTTTGTAAAACCGAAATAAATACAAGTATTATTTGGATAGGGTTCTGTGTCTTGAGTTTTTGTTGTTGTTGTTGTTGTTGCAACACATTTTAAAGTTCAGTGAACAAGTTTTTAAAAAGTAACATTGTTTTACACACATTAGAAAAATCAAATCAAATGATAAAATAGTATGAATACTTCTATGTATTTTTACACATTTATAATTGTTATGTCCAAGGGGAGTGGAGGTGCAGAGAAATGAACCTGTTACCGGAAAGTTGCTGGTGACCGTAACATCATAATGTGGGTGGAAGATGTCAAGCACCAACACCTACCTCCATCCTCATTTGCCCCACTCTGGGCCCTTGAGCAAGGCCCTTAACCCATCATTTACTTCCCCGGCCATCCTAGATAGC